TGTGCTCACCCACAGCCCTCAGCATAGCTTACGGAGAAGGGGATAGACTGTGCTCACCCACAGCCCTCAGCGTAGCTTACGGAGAAGGGGATAGATTGTGCTCGGGCACAGCCCTCAGCGTAGCTTACGGAGAAGTGGATAGACTGTGCTCAGGCACAACCCTCAGTGTAGCTTACGGAGAAGTGGGTAGACTGTGCTTGGGCATGGCCCTCAGCGTAGCTTACGGAGAAGTGGGTAGACTGTGCTCAGGCACGGCCCTCAGTGTAGCTTACGGAGAAGGGGATAGACTGTGCCCATGCATGACCCTCAGCATAGTTTATAGAGAAGTGAATAGACTGCTCGCGCACGACCCTCATTGTAGTTTACAGAGAAGTGGGTAGATGCACGACCCTCAGCATAGCTCACGGAGAAGGGAATAGACTGTGCCCGCACATGGCCCTCAGTGTAGCTTATGGAGAAGTGGGTGGTCTGTGCCTGCACACTGCACTAGAATAGCCTGCAGTCATGGTGCTTCCATTTGACCATAGGCAAGTCTCCGATTGGTTACAGTTCTTACCCTGCGAGAATTTGGAGCTTCTCATGCTAGGTGAGCTTTACGATTCACATGCTATCTGCTTGGGTCTTTGCCTCTGTAGGTTCTGCTGAAGGCGTTTATCGCGAACCTGAAGTCCGGCTCCCCGACTATCCGGCGAACGGCTGCTGGGTCGGCGGTGAGCGTCTGCCAGCACTCCAGGAGGATGCAGTACTTCTACAGCTGGCTGCTGAATGTGCTCTTAGGTACGTGCAGGTGGGTTAGCCACTGTCCCATTCTCTCTAGACTGGACTTTGCAAATCGTGGAACGCAAACACTCCCTGGGTGTCTGGGCCAGACCATTTGCATCGGCCGACTGGCAAGATGGACTCGTGCTGGGCTGCCCTGAGCCCCGGGGGTCTTCATGAGACTAGGAAAAGGCCCTCATCCTCAGTACAGACCCAGCCGTGCACAGGGACACCCAGCAGGGGCAGCGGGCGTGGCCAGACGACAGCCCCATGGCCTTCCTATGCTGACCCTCCGGCAGAAGTGCGTAGCCGAGGGCGGTGGTTCTGTGTCCAGGGAGTCTTGGGGCCTTCAGCTGTCCTCAGGGGACCTGAGAGTCTCCGTCCAGGTCCTGGGTCTACCGACAGTTTCTCCCGTAGTTTGGGTAATTGTAGAAATCAACACTGGCAGTGCTGAGGTGAGCGTGTGGGCGCATGACGGGAGATACCTGCCTGACTGTCAGATACAGCAAAGCCCCCACGAACGGCCTTGCCAGCTAAGGATGCAGCTCCCCTTCATGGCCACTCATGGATTCTGGCCACACAGTGAGGTACACTGTGTATTTTTTGTAAATAATATTTTACTGTGTTTTTGGTGAAAGTTTACATAGCAGATTAGGTTCCCATCGACAATTTCTACGTGAATTGTTCAGCGACATCAGTTACGTTTTTCACAGTGTGTCAGCATCCTCTTTAATTGCATCCCGGTTGTTCCATTACACTATGGATTTTTCTTTATCCCTCACTGCAGCCTTGTAACGGGGTCGTGCTGTGGGTCAGAGAATCAGAGGTGAAGACCTATTGTTGCTGTGGTTACAGGCTTGCTGGTTCCTGTGGAGGACGAGCACCCCACCCTCCTCATCCTGGGAGTGCTGCTCACCCTGAGGTACCTGGTGCCCTTGCTGCAGCAGCAGGTCAAGGACATGAGCCTGAAAGGCAGCTTTGGGGTGACACGCAAAGAAATGGAAGTCTCTCCTTCCACGGAGCAGCTTGTCCAGGTAGGAGTCACATGGTTTCCTCTAGTCCTTCTGCACAACGATTAAAGTTCAGAGAATTAACTTATTTGGGAGAGACGCAGCATGATCTAGTGTTAAGAGAAGGGACTCTGGAACTGGACTGCCTGGGCTCCAGTCTCAGGTCACGTCCTCTAGCTCTGTGGTATTAGCGCGGAAGCCCAGGTCACTGCCTCTAGCTCTGTGGGGTCAGGGTGGAAGCCCGTGTCACTCTTCTAGCTGTGTGGGGTCAGGGGGGAAGCCAAGGTTACTTCCTCTAGCTGTGTGGGGTCAGGGTGGAAGCCGAGGTTCACCACATCTAGCTGTGTGAGGTCAGGGGGGAACCTGAGGTTCACCACCTCTAGCTGTGTGGGGTCAGGGTGGAAGCCCGTGTCACGCCTCTAGCTGTGTGGGGACAGGGGGGAAGCCCAGGTCACTCCTCTAGCTGTGTGGGGTCAGGGTGGAAGCTGAGGTTCACCACCTCTAGCTGTGTGGGGTCAGGGTGGAAGCCGAGGTTCACCACCTCTAGCTGTGTGGGGTCAGGGTGGAAGCTGAGGTTCACCACCTCTAGCTGTGTGGGGTCAGGGTGGAAGTCGAGGTTCACCACCTCTAGCTGTGTGGGGTCAGGGTAGAAGCCGAGCTCACTCCTCTAGCTGTGTGGGGTCAGGGTAGAAGCCGAGGTCACTCCTCTAGCTGTATGGGGTCGGGGGGATGCCCAGTTCACTTCCTCTAGCTGTGTGGGGTCAGGGTGGGAGGCCCAGGTCACTTCCTGTAGCTGTGTGGGGTCAGGGTGGAAGCCCACGTCACTCCTCTAGCTGTGTGGGGTCAGGGTAGAAGCCGAGGTTCTCCACCTCTAGCTGTGTGGTGTCAGAGTGGAAGCCCAGGTCACTTCCTCTAGCTGTGTGGGGTCAGGGTGGAAGCCCACGTCACTTCTTCTAGCTGTGTGGGGTCAGGGTGGAAGCCCACGTCACTCCTCTAGCTGTGTGGGGTCAGGGTGGAAGCCCACGTCACTTCCTCTAGCTGTGTGGGGTCAGAATGGAAGCCCAGGTCACTTCTCTAGCTGAGTGGGGTCAGGGGGGAAGCCCAGGTCACTTCTCTAGCTCTGTGGGGTCAGGGTGGAAGCCCAGGTCACTCCCTCTAGCTGTGTGGGGTCAGGGTGGGAGGCCCAGGTCACTCCTCTAGCTGTGTGGAGTCACATGGAACCCCAGATAAACCACATTGAAATTTGACGTAATGCCTTTAAGAATTTTGGCGTAACAGAGTCCTGATGGGTAACCATGTACTGGACTGACTCCACTCTAAGTGTATGTTAAGCTAAGTGTATGTTAAGCTGTCTCCTCACTTCTCTGGTCACACATTTAAGGAACTGGGGATCCTAATTGGCATACTACTCCTTTTGTAGAAGTGCTGTATTTATTTTATCATATTTTTTTGTTTATTGTTGTGGTTTAAATGAAGTTTACATTTCAGGTTAGTCTTCCATACAAAAATTTATGCATACATTGTTATGTGACCCTAATTGCTCTCCCCACGCTATGAAAGAACACTTCTCCCTTCCACCCCTGATTCCCCATGTCGGTTCAACCAGCTCCTAACCTCTCTGCCTTCCCATCTCACCTGTGGACAGAAGCTGCCCATTTAGTCTCTTGTATCTACTTGAGCTAAGAGGCACACTCCTCACGAGTATCCCTTTATGTCCCACAGTGCAGTCCAATCCCTGTCTGAAGAGTTGGCCTTGGAAATTGTTTTAGTTCTGGGCTGATAGAGAATCCAAGGGCCATGCTTTCCGGGGTTCCTCCAGTCTCAGTCAGACCATTAAGTCTGGTTTTCTTACTAGAATTTGAGTTCTGCACCCCACCTTTCTCCTGCTCCATCCAGGACTCTCTGTTGTGTTCCCTGTCAGGGCGTCCATTGGTGGTAGCTGGGCACCATCTAGTTCTTCTGGTCTCAGGCTGATGAAGTCTTGGGTTTATGTGGCCCTTTCTGTCTCTTGGGCTGATACTTTCCTTGTGTTTGGTGTTCTTCATTCTCCTTTACTCCAGGTGGTTGGGACAAATTGGTGCATCTTAGATGGCCACTTGCAAGCTTTTAAGACCCCAGATGCCACTCACCGAAGTAGGATGCAGAACATTTTCTTAATAAGCTTTGTTATGCCAGTTGACCTAGATGTCCCCTGAAAGCATGATCCTCAGACCCCTACCCCTGCTACTCTGTCCCTCAAAGTGTTTGTATTCAGGAAGCTTCTTAGCTTTGGTTTAGTCCAGTTGTACTGACTTCCCCTATAGTGTGTGCGGTCCTTCCTTTCACCTAAGAGAATGCTTATCTACTATCTAGTTAGTGAATAACCCTCACCCTCCCTCCCCACCCTCGTAACCATCAAAGAATGTTTTCTTCTGTGTTTAAACCATTTCTTGAGTTCTTATAATAGTGGTCTTATAGAATATTTGTCCTTCTGCGACTGACTAAATTCACTCAGCATAATGCCCTCCAGATTCCTCCATGTTATAAGGTGCTTCACGGCTTCATCATTGTTCTTTATCGTTGCATAGTATTCCATTGTATGGATATACCATAATTTGTTTATCCATTCATCTGTTGCTGGGTGCCTAGGTTGTTCCCATCTCTTTGCTATTGTGAACAGTGTGCAGTGAACATGGATGTGCATATATCTGTTCGTGTGACGGCTTTTATTTCTCTAGGATATATTCCATGGAGCGGGATAGCTGGATTGTATGATACTTCTATTTCTAGCTTTTTAAGGAAGCACCAAATCTATTTCCAAAGTGGTTGTACCATTTTACATTCCCACCAACAGTGTATAAGTGTTCCAGTCTCTCCACACCCTCTCCAGCATTTATTATTTTGTGTTTTTTGGATTAATGCTAGCCTTGTTGGGGTGAGATGGTGTCTCATTGTAGTTTTGATCTACATTTCTCTAATGGCTAAGATCGTGAGCATTTCCTCATGTATCTGTTAGATGCCTGAATATCTTCTTTCGCGAAGTGCCTGTTCATATCTTTTGCCCTTTTTTTATTTGGGTTATTTGTCTTTTTGTTGTTGAGGTTTTGCAGTACCTTGTAGATTTTAGAGATTAGACGCTGATCAGATTTGTCGTAGCTAAAATTTTTTTCCCAGTCTGTAGGTTGTCGTTTTACTCTTTTGGTGAAGTATTTTGATGAGTATAAGTGTGATTTTTAGGAGCTCCCAGTTACCTAGTCTCTCTTCTGGTGCTTGTGCATTGTTACTTACGGTTCATATTCTGTTCATACCATGCGTTAAGGCTTCTAGCATTGCCCTATTTTTTCTTCCATGATCTTTATCATTTTTGATTTTATATTTAAATCTTTGATCCATTTTTAGTTAGTTTTTGTGCATGGTGTGAGGTATGGGTCTTGTTTGAGTTTTTTGCAGATGGATATCCAGTTATGCCAGCACCATTTGTTAAAGAGGCTGTCTTTTCCCCAATTAATGGACTTTGGGCCTTTGTCAAATATCAGCTGCTCATAGGTGGATGAATTTATGTCTGGATTCTCCATTCGGTTCCATTCACCTAAGTATCCGTTGTTGTACCAGTACCAGGCTGTTTTGACTACCATGGTGGTATAATAATGAGGCTTCCCACTTTGTTCTTCTTGAGTAGTGCTTAACTTATCCGGGGCCTCTTCCCTTTCCATATGAAGTTGGTGATTTGTTTCTCCATCCTGATAAAAAATGCTGTTGGGATCTGGATTGGGATTGCATTGTATCTGTAGATCGCTTTGGGTAGAATTGACATTTTCACGATGTTGAGTCTTCCTCTCTATGAGCAAGGTATGTTTTTCCACTTACACAGGTCTCTTTTGGTTTCTTGCAGTAGCGTCTTGCAGTTTTCATTGTACAGGTCTTTTACATCTCTGGTTAGAGTTAGTCCTAAGTATTTTCTCTTCTTGGGGGTAATTGTAAATGGTATTGATTTGGTGATTTCCTCTTCGAGGTTCTCTTTGTTGCTGTAGAGGAATCCAACTGATTTTTGTATGTTTATCTAGTATCCTGAAACTTTGCTGAAATCTATTGGTTCCAGTAGTTTTCTTGTGGATTCTTTGGGGTTTTCTGTATATAAGAGCATATCATCTGCAAATAGAGATACTTTGACTTTTTCCCTACCAATTTGGATGGGCTTTATTTCTTTTTCTAGCCTAATTGCTCTGGCTAGGACCTCCAGCACAGTGTTGAATAAGCATGGTGATAAAGGGCATCCTTGTCTGGTTCCCATTCTCAAGGGGAATGCTTTCAAAGTGTCTCCATTTAGGATGATGTTGGCTGTTGGCTTTGTATAAATGCCTTTAATTATATTGAGGAATTTCCTTCTGTTCCTATTTTGTTGAGAGTTTTTGTCATGAATGGGTGTTGGACTTTGTCAAATGCCTTTTCTCCATCGATTGATAAGATCATGTGGTTCTTGTCTTTTGTTTTATTAATGTGATGGATTACATTAATTGTTTTTCTAATGTTGAACCATCCCTGCATACCTGGTATAAATCCCACTTGGTCATTGTGATGGTTAAGATTGTGTGTCAGCTTGGCTGGGCCATGATTCTCCGTGTTTTAATGTAGTCACTCCCATGATTGAATATACTGTGAGTAGCCAATCAGATGAAAGGGAGTCTCCTTGGGGGTGTGGCCCGCATCTGTATATAAGCAGATGTTCTGGCTTTTTG